TTTTTCACCTCTTTAACGGGGAAGAACACTACACCAGGCAATATCTTTGGTTTTCAGAAAAATTTCAACTGTCAAGAAATATTTCAGCAGAAGACCAATGTTTCAGGGTTGTTTACTGGGATTTTGCATGTGGCCAATCTGACAGCAGCTGGACTGGAATTGCGACAAATACTTGTGTCACTTGGCAAAGTGACAGTTGAGCATGCCTTGCAACCTAAGCTTGTGACCCAACAATGACAGAAAATAAAGATCTGCCTGTTTAAATCTCTGAAGGCTTCGCAGCTGTGAGCAGGGATACACACACTGCTGGGAAACAAGGCTCGCTCTTTCTTTTCTTGTTCATTGTTTTAACGATCTGAATTTCATTAAATAAAAAATAACCTGTATCCTCTCTCTTCTTTGATGTTTTGACACCTTCACTCCCTCTCAGCTTCTTGTAGACAAACAAGTGTTTCTACTGCTGTGTAAGAGTCCTGCTGGATTCAGAGGGGAAGTCATGCACGTACCAGGCTAGACGAAAAGGTGGTTGTGAATTTATGAGTGGCTGAGAAACAGGGGATGCCTGAGGAGCAGCATCCTGAGGAGTGGCAGGAGCACAACCCTGCCAACCAAGAACCAGAAGGCACAGCAGCTGAACACAAATTTTGACAAGTTTGCTCCAGACCAACTGTCCAGCAGACGGCAGCTGTGCCATGACACTGCTCCAGCCTGCAGAAATTCTCTTCCTTGGAGGTGAAAATCCACTGGCAAGCTTTATGTCCTCACCTATTACAGCTCTGGGCACTCCATCAATAAAAACCCTTGTAAAGATGCTAAATGCAGGACTCCCCTTAAGCTGATTTCTGCCTCCTCGTCAGCCACTCTCAGCAGCCCAAGGTTTCTGGCAGAGGAAGCAAGATCAAACGTTGCCACTTACTTCTCCCCCAAAGAAAAAAGGCTGAGGCTATCCTAGGCTCTTCTGCCACAACAGAAAAAAAAAAGGAAAGGAAGGGAAGAACTGGGATGAACAGCTCAGGAGTCAAACTCTAGCCTGGCTGCCATTAGGGGGCTGGAGGACATGAGGGTTTAGGATGCAATCCAGAAACAACTGCTGGCTTGTGTGCCAACCTACCTCCTCCTGCAGCCAGCCTGGCTCTGTGGGGCTCTGGCAAGGGCAAGGCTGGCTGCCTTGCTGCTCCTTCTCTGCCAATCTGTTGCTCAAAGCCATTGCCTATTTCATCTGCAGCCAGAAAAGGTCCCAAATCCTTTAATAATCTCCCTACTAACTAAACCCAGCAACAGCAAACCTCTGGCTCCAGGGGTGGTTGAGTTTGACCCCAGCAGCAATTAGATACAAGGCTTTTAAAAACTTTTGGCAGAAGGCCCCCAAAAGGTCAGCCCTCACCAGCCCCATCCCTTCCCAACTATTGTCAGGAGTTAGCTGCATCTGTATTTAAACACAACAGATGCAAAGCTCCCACCTACCCATGTGCTTTTATTCCTCTGGGAAGGCACAAATTTGGATGAGGAGAAGCCACAAGGGGAAATCCGCTGAAACAATAGCAGAGGTAGAGAGTGGAGACAGAAATTCTCCAGGACCCACAAGGAGACAGAAGAGCTCTTGCCTGGGGAATACCCACCTCTGTGCTCTGTGCAGTTTGCCAGGAAAAACTCAGGGCTGAGGGCAGATACGCTGTCACTGAAAGATTTAGGGAGGCAAAGGAAAAAGGACGGAAGGGAGGGAACCCACAAGGGCTGCGGAGAGTTCATGGAGGCAGGAAAGGAAAGCAAAGGAAAAGGTGGGTTCTCCCAAGCTGGTGAACAAATATTACCTCAGAAGTTAATTGCAGATGAAGAAACGCATGCACAGGGCTACTGCAATGCTTTAACCCCTGAAGCAGTCACACTCTCTTCGCAAAACTGTCCCTGCTTTGTTCACACGAGCTGGTTCTGAGCCATTTTAATCAGCTGCTGTCTCAGGTTTATTGGAGTAAACTGAATATAAGTACTAAATTCAGCTGTTTTAACTACAAAGTGAGAGGAGAAAGACACTAAAGCTCTTGACTTCAGCCTACAAACAATACAACTTCATAGTTTATCCAGAAAGGGAGAAGACAAAACCCAATTCAGTTACTGCAATGTAATCCCAGACATGGCCAAGATCACCCTGCTAACGCAGAAAGAAAACTTTTGGGCATAAGAATCATATAACACAAAGTTTGTAGAACATCATTACACCCACAAAAGCCGAAGAGCAGAATTGGTAAGTTGAGCTGCCAGGCAGACATCAAAGAGCATCTCAGACACAGCCTTGAATGCAAGGAAGAGAATCAGCACAACTGGGATGTCTACTCCAGGCAAAAGGAACCAGACCGTTAGGAGCTTCCACCTGGATGATCACCAGCAATACAAAGCCAGAAAAAAAGACCCTAGTTTAGCATTTTACCCCTAAGGCCAGTACATTTAACTGGATATCTGGTGGTTCAACAGCACAGCAGCAGTGCTGGGCCAAATCCAAGTCACAGCCTTCTGGCCCAGGAGGAAAAGTTGTTACCAAATGAAGCGTGTTGACAACATATGGAGGCCTGTGCTACTGGAGCAGTTTCATCCTCATCCAGAAAGAAAAAAACCTGTAAGATTATGCCAAACACATGATTCAATTTAGGTCAGAGCTCTGCTGCTCAAAGCACCCTGGCCACCGATACTGCTTGGAATGGACTGGCTTGTTTCAGTGCTGACTTTACAGTTTTTCAAAGGTTTTTCACCGGCCAAAGCACTGTGCATTTTCATTTTTTTTTTAACCTGAATTTATTATTCATTAGGGAGCAGTTTACTACTAAATATATTTATCCAGTTTGCATCACCTTTTTTATTCATCCCCATACCAAAGTAACTTCGAGCAGAACTGAAGTCCTAAAACATTGGGGCTTGTAAATTTATTACCAAAGTAACTTCGAGCACAACTGAAGTCCTAAAACATTGGGGCTTGTAAGCTCCCTCTTTAAAGCATGTAAGCACCTAACATTTTGTCAGACACCCTGAAATGGTCACCCAAGAAATGCCCATCCACTGACAGCTCAGGTCCTGCCTTTGGCCTCTTACCTAGGCACCTATTACTAGATGGCATAAAGCTGGGATACAGTGATTATGTCTGATCTCCATTGATGTGAATGGAAAATATCTTCCATGGAAGCAAGGGTGAGTTACAGGAGAATAGAGACAACGTGAAATCCAATTCAGGATTCTCATTTCCACTTTCAGGTTCCTGCCTCACCACTGCACAGGTGAGATTTATAAAAAGAATAACAAATACATATGGATATTTTGTTTTATAGATAGCTAACTACTGGTTTAGAGTGAAAAACATCTGACTGCATAACATGTCATGCCGCAGCCCTGTAAGCAGTAAAGACCATACTTCTGATATAAACAAAGTTATTCTGATTCAGTAAGAATTCTGTTCTCGAAAGGAATGGAAGCAATAAACTAAATGAGGATTAAATACCAGATCTTGTCATCCTTCCATGCATTAAAAGACCAAAATAATCAAGACTTTCAAATGCTATGTCAAACTGAGCAGAATAGAAAAGCAAACTTCTTGCTTGTTTTGGCACAGCAAGTTCTTTACAGCTTATACTTGTTTTAAGTTGGAAAATACAACATTGCATTTGCTAACCCAATAGATCATTTTCCTATCCAAAAAAGGATAGCTTCTTTTGTAAACTTACCAACTAAGGACCATTTTGTGGGAAGTACTGCTTTATCTAACTCCTCATTGTAAATAGTTCTTTCACTTTTTTAAACTCTTCTTCAACAAAAGAATAATTTTGATACTGAGTAATTAAGCATGTGCTTTGTCGAAAGAAAAATACTTAAAGTTTTTTGGTTATATGTAAAGGATTAAATACTTAAGTAAAAAGGATGATATCTGCACATCAACAATTACATATGATTACAACAGTAGGAGCAAAGTCCAAACGGCGCTTCCAGGATTAGTCATTGTAGTTGACCCATCTTAGTGTGGGAGACTCCAGCTTATAGCCTGGAGTGAATGTCACCCTTGGAAATGATTCAGGGTAATTGGGAAACACCAAGAGAGGACTCTGGTTTGCTACTCTCAGTTAGTGCCTATTGCCATGAAGAAGCATTTTGAAAGCACTGTCTGGGTCCACAAGAAGGAACGTTCAGTAGTGGCTGGTGACTGTGGGTGGCTGAAGCAGTTCAGTTGAGTCAGTCAGTGCTTACTGAGGATCAAGAACAGCTAAGCCTTTTCTGCTTGGGCATCTAAAGCCTAAGACGTCCTAAGAAAACTAGCCACTACTCATGATTCCAGCCCCTGAGAAACTAAATTTGCTTTCAGGCCTCAGCAGTTATTAAATATTTTTGGGAATTACGTAAGAAATTCCATCTTGAGGTGAAGAAAATAACTGTCTGAAAATTACTGGACAGGTAAGCAAACCTGGATACTAACATCAGCAAGCTTTGATTGAGTTACTGTTTCTTAAGCTGTAATTGCTTATGCCTGAGCAGCATTCAGCATGTGACACCTTCAGATAAGAGAAGAAGGAAAGAAAAGCTTATTTGTGAACAATGTGATTGAAATGTTGGCTCTTTTGGTCTTCACACTGCTATAACTTTACCTTCCTGTAGACACAAGTGAGCTCAGAAGCAGTTCTAGACACTGCAAACACCAGTGTGCTGCAGAGCGGCACATCCAACGGGCCCTGGTGGCTTTATATTTTGTGGTGGGACCCTGCAGTGTCCAGTGAAGTGCCTTAACGTAGCTGAGACTGTTATCAAGGCATTCACAATTTTCTCAAATTTCAAATTTCCTAAGGAATGCACTAAAGAGGCCCTACAAAGTCTCCTCCCTCTATCAAGGCACCTCTCCTCCTCTCTGAAATTCAGCTGCAAGAGGTTGATGTTATAAAATGTCGGGATGAGGGGACAGTGGCAGAACAGCCTTATTTGTGTAGAAAACTAGGCTAAAAACTAAATAACAAAGGCACTACCAGCCATACCTGATTATACCAAGAGGGTCTAAAATTTCTTCCTCTTCTTCCTCCTCTTCCTCTTCTTTTTTCTCCCCTTTTTTGGCATTTTCCCCTGATGAAAGCTGTGAGATTAAGTCAGGTGTCTTCTCTTCTTTGAAAAAATCCAACATTTCATTTTCTTCATCTTTCTCTGTGTCATCAGGAATGTTTTTACCCTTGAAGTCAACGCCACTAGTAGATTTTGTTCCTGCAAAATACATTAACAGATGCAAAACTAAGTACGCATGATAACAACTATGTTTTATTTAATACCTTGCACCTGTTCCTGATGGGTTTGTTTGGGGAATAAAGGACATGATCAGCTTTTGTGAAACTCTTTCAATATTCTTGACTGTCCCGTCTACCCACTGATTTGTCATTATATGTCTGATCAGTTTACTGATTTAAAGTAGTTGAGTAGAGAAAGACAGAGGAAATGAACTTTATCTGAGATACAGCAGAGCATGTCTAATCTGCTTATTTATGTTCCTTCTATAGTCAATAGAAACAATAGAATTTCCATGCGGTGATTCATCCCGTCCAAACAAAGTTGCCTGAAAAGGAGTTTCCCTCTGAAGTGCTTGTTTCTCTCCACTGGCTACAAAGAGGTCATAAATACTCTGCTTAGATATAGGTTGCTAACTTTCACATAGCTAGCTGAGATAAAGTCTACTTTTTGTTACTCATTTAATTCATTTAGACTAAAATTAGAGCATTGGACAGCATGAAAAAGTTTTCACAGAAGCTCTTCAATTTATACTCAAAAATGAAACCTGAAGTTCTAACTCCATTCAGTATGCAAGATCCATCCAAATGAGTAAATTCAGCAAACTGAAACATGTGCTTTGACCAAGTCTTCTCACCGTACTTGTTATATGCAAACCCAGGAGAATGAGGAGAGGACTATTCCTTGCTGTGGAGTCTCTGGATGTTCAGGAAAGCAATTCATAGTACTGCAACTAGCTAAAAATAGGCTAGTGAAAACCATGATGGATAAAATTCATGGTTCCATACTTTTGACTGTTAAAGTAACATGGCATGGGAGACTCATCTCACCCAGCTCTTCATGCTTGTGTCTGCCAAATCACCCGGGGCAGACTTCATTGACTAAATGTGGGTGTCTACACCAAGCAAGTGGTCTTATGCTCCTCTTATAGGCAAGAGAGTGCTGGTCAGGGTAGGCAGCAGATGTTAGGGTGCTGCTTATCTTATCCACAGTGTCATCTGTGCTTTCCCATGTTGATTCTCCTTGAACACCCCTGAATACATTGGCTGTGTTTCCAGCACCTGTAAGGGAAGTGCACACAACTGCTTTGAGGATCTGCAGTGTAGGTACTGAATTCCTCCTGGTGAGGAGGAACTCCTCACCTGAACTCCTCACCTGGTAGGGTGAGACTTAGAGTATTCTAAGGCAGATTTCAATGAACAAGTCACATCACTTGCACCCAGTCTGTCCCCAGGGTAAAGACAGTCCAGACTAATTGAGGTGTGGACGTGTGCACTATGGTTAGGTTAATCAGCATGCAAATATTAATGAACACGAATTCTGAATTCTCTGTGGAAAGGGTCTACTTTCATGAGAATCCTGCCAGAGAAAAAAGAAAAAAAAAATCCAAAACCTTATTAACAACAGAATTTTGCCAAATATTATGGAATTTTGCCCCACTTCAGGAAGCTGCCAGTCTCACAGAACTTCTAATCTGGCCACACTTGACGTTTTTGTAAAATTGGCAGTTCACACGTGGTGACTTGCTAGCACCTTACAACTTCACTTCCCTAAAACTAACGCCACACTGAGAATCCCCCCCAGCACCAGGCTGGAGCATTCCCTGCTCAGCAGCTCTCATCTGCATCAAGAGCAGGGAGCCCATCTGTTCCATTCGGTGGATGACTCCCTGCTATGCCCAAGGAACACAAGAAAGGAACTACAGGAATCGCTGGGAGAGGCAACAAGAGCTGGACATGAAGCTAAAGGAAAATTTAGAATAAAATAAAAAAAAGAGACCAGAGAATGGGTTTAACTAATAAAGAAGCTGCCTTTTATTCACATCTTTCTAGGGTTCAATAATTTGCCTTAGGACCCTCTTTGGCAAGGCCTAGCAATTTTATGAGAAATGAAAACCAGAAAAAACGTGGAACGGTTGTTTGCTAAGGGAGACTCCGCACTGTCCTTTTACTGTTCACCTCTCCCCTGACAATATATGATTATTTACCCTGCTAAACTCAGGTGTTCTGAATCACAGCTTAGGTATATGCCTAAGGGAAATCGGAGAGTGGGACAGATTCCTTCAAAGCAAGCATTGTGGTATCAACAGTTCTGAATGAGGCCTGTGTCCACTGAGAAAAGGAGAAAACAGCAGCAAACATGACTATGCAACACTGTAGATGCACAAGAGAATATTTTCAGTGACAGCCTTTATTCTGGCATTCTCTAGTTTCCCATTACCTGAGTCAAGAACTCAATAATGCTTTTATCAAGCACCATCGTGGGAGAGGGGACACTCACATCTTTTCGTTACCTAAAAATTCCAGTAACTCAGGACTCGTTGCTAGATCCTCATCTTTTGAGATGAATTTCATGATGTCATTGAACATAGCTCTTCGTTCACAGATGTCAGATTCCCCCACGAAGAGAACTTTTCTAGGCAAGAGTGGAAGAGAAACTTGTGGATATCGTGCCGACAGCCTCTGGTAGAGCTCCTCTATCTCGCTGTACTTCTTGGAAACCTGCAACGAAACACGCTGCCCGGGTAAGTTTCTTTACAAGGGAGACATGAGCAGCAAAGTAGCAGCTTAAGTGCAGTGAAACATTAACCCTGGAAAATGAAGGGGAAAAACATGTCTTACCAAGAAGCTTTACATATAGCCTAGCAAAAGCCTGTTATCTACACGGTGAATCCCCAAGCATTGTTGCTGGTCTTCTAATTCTGTTATTAAAATCCACTCCCTCATGGAATTGAAGTTCATTGCCAAATACCCAGCGTCCATCTGTCTGACTCATCAACTAATGGCATACTGGGAAGGCACTGCTCCAGATATTTTTCTCTGACAGCAAAAATCCTTGTCCACTAAAAATGAGCCGTACGATTCCCAGCCCTGAGAGACAGGAGGGAAGAGAAGCACAGCCAGGTACGTATCTGATGGAGAAAGCAGCCTGAAGCTTTTCACCGTTGAGCCAGAAGACCCATTTCTCAGCCCTGGTGGGCTTCAGTGCCCTGCTGGCTGTTAAGGCCTAAAAAAATGGCAGGTTTGCTGCCCTGCAGAGCACCTAAGGACAGAAACCGAAGGGCAAAGACCTCAGCTGACCCCTAACTATTCAGTTTATTCATGAGAAAATAAAAACCAACAACTTGGCCATGGCCTACAGGTTCTCATAGAGGGAGAAGATGCCAACAGTGAACGGAGTCATTCCTTCTGCAGACAAAGACAGGAAGCCTGAGGAGAAATAAGGCCCAAGAGATTAAAAGGAAAGCAATAACCACAGGAATGCTGGTTAGAAATGGTGCGAGTTCTATGCAACATTAAGTTTGGAATTCAGTACCTTACAAAAACAGGACACAAAACCCCCCACACAAATAAAACACTATCTCTAAGTGATGTCACAGGTGCAATGGAGAATGGCTGTCATGCTCTGTGACAGTGGTATTATACAGAAAATATACTCATCTTGGCCCTCCATGGCCCCATTATCTATGAATGTGTTTCAATGAATACAGAGTTAGATTAAAAAAAAAAATCCAAAAAACTAGTGCTAGTGAATAGTGTACAGGACAGATCCTCTACCAGGGTCCAGCTCTTAGTCTCCTGTAACATCTGTTGCTGAGCTCTAGTGGTGTGAATCCTAATTAATACTGCAACATAAAAGATGGAGAGACTCAAGCACCATCCTGACATCTTGGGATGAAAGGCAGCAAACTTCTTCCACCAACACAGTGATAACAGAAAGTCAACCCAACAAAAAGCACAGAGGTAGAAGGGGAACAAATTACAGATTAACCCAGAATCCATAAACTCCATCTATAGTGGCAAAATAAACAGTATCAGGGCATATTCCCAGGTACTGGAACCTGAGAGTGTCTTTTAGGAACCTTGTATTGTCTACTGAACCTGACAATGCCTGGCACAGTTTTGACTCTGGGCAGCTAGCACTCCTCCCAGATAATTTTTCAGCCCAAGGTTCAGCCCAGTGCAGAGACCATGCCGTAGCCAGTTTGGGTGCTGATGCCTGCTGCACATGGTAAGAAGGTTTCATACTATGGACCGCAGCCAGACTGTGCTAAGCTGCCCTCCAGGCCAGAGAACAGGTCCTGACATTAATCAACACACCTCAACTAGTTTACTAAATTAGACGTAAGCATAAAGAGCAATGACCAGCTTAGCTTTCAGGCCTCCCTGCCTTTTGCACTGATTATCAACCAAGCCAGCTGATTTGAAAAATATTTGCATTTCAGCCGTACAGTGTTCACTACGGGTTCAGTGTCCAGTCACAAAAGGCAAGCAGCTTTATAGAAAAGATCTGAAGCACAAACCCAAATCTGAGTTGACAGGGAAACGAAAAATAAGAATTTTAAACTTATCTCCTGTAAACAACACAGTAAGTGTGAGCAACACCGTGCTCTGCATGCAGGATCTGATATGCAATTCAGCAGCCAAGCATTAAGGTGATGGCAATGAAGAGATGTTCCCAGAATAAGACAATCCTCCCTTTGAAAGATATATCAAAAAGAGAGAGGAAAGAAATTTTGGATTTTCTGAATTGTTGTACCTTTCTAGTTTGCTAGGTCCTATTAGCACTCTGAACAGGGTATGATACCACATCGCCTCCCAAAAATACTGTGTAAGAACAAATGTAAGGGCAGTGAGGAGTTCACTGGTACTTTTTCAAAAGAATAAATAATATTATTCTCCACCCAGAAAAAAAATAATCAAATCTGATTTGTGAAAAATGTTTAACATCTAACTAATTTCAACAATAAATAACAAATTAATGTCTGAAAGCACTAAAAGACAGCAGCCAATCAACAAGACTGTGCCAAAATAGCTTTAAAATACTCAAAAAGTAACGCTGAACTGAGACAAACTTATTTCTTTCCCCGCTTAATTTTCATTCCTCCCCTATCGAACTGTAAATTATTCACAAATCTCAATTTATGTCTAATTACACCATTGAACCTAAAGTAAACGCACACCCTCGCATCCCATTGCTAATTGAGCCTTTGTGTATCTGCGTGGGCTTTGAACACCACCACCACCAGCTATACCATGCGACACAGCACACAAAGTGTGATAAAGCTATACCCAGAGCATACTGATACGCTGCCCCGGAGCCTGCAGCACACCACGCCGGCTCATTTCCAGCGGTGTGGGGATGCCCTCTGCTGGGAAAACCTACCACAAAGGCAAGATGTTAGACCTCCAGCCCAAGCCTTTCCTCACTTACCCAACACCAAAGCTGGCCCCAGCAAGCCCCTGCCATGGTGGCTCCTCGCCTACTGTCCCTCCGTCTCTAACTCTGGCTGCTGCTGGCTCCTCGTTGTCTTTGTTCACCTTGACCTTGGTTTTGTGCTGGGAATGCAGCAATAAGGCTGGCTGAATCCAACAGCCTCATGCTGATGCATTTGGAATCACAGAATAGTTTGTGTTGGAAGGGACCTTTAAAGATCATCTAGTCCAAACCCCCTGCCATGGGCAGGGACACCCATCCAGCCTGGGCTTGAACAACTCCAGAGATGATGGGGCATCCACAACTTTCCTGGACAGCCTCTTTCAGTGTCTCACCATCCTCATTGTAAAAACTTTCTTCTTCATGTCAGATCTAAATTTACCACGTTTCAATTCAAAACCATTGCTCTTTGTCCTGTCCCTATCATCCCTGGTAAAAAGTCTCTCTCTGTCTTTCTTACAAGCACCCTCTTTATACTGAAAGGCCACAATAAGTTCTCCCCAGAGCCTTCTCTTCCCAAGGCTGAAGAGCCCCAACTCTCTCAGCCTTTCCTCACAGAAGAGGTGCTCCATCCCTCTGATCATCTTTGTGGCCGTCCTCTGGACTTGCTCCAACAGGTCCATGCCTTTCTTACACTGGGGGCTCTGGAGCTGGACACAGTACTGCAGATGGGGTCTCACCACAGCAAAGCAGAGGGGCAGGATCACATCTCTCAACCTGATGGCCACACTTCTTGTGATACAACCCAGGATACGGTTGGCTTTCTGGGCTGTGACGCACATTTGGGTCTCCTTGTTTGAAAGCAGCAGCACAGAGGCACTGCAGGGACCTCACACAGCACTGGCCAGGTCTCACAGAGTGTATCTTCTCAGGTTGAGTCCCACACATCACCCAGAGCATCCTCACGCCTTTCCAGTCAGGAAGCAGTGCTCTGCTGTGACAACTGTGGACCCTTTCAATTTGATGTCCTCTGCCAATTTTTCCAGGAGAAAATCATATCAGCAGGTAACAATTAAATCTTGCTTTTCCTGGTTAACACTCACAACCCTTTGAAAAAAGCTGATGAATCCTATGGCCCAAAATGTCAGGATTAAAAAAAAAAAGCTGCTCTAAAAACCATTTCATCATTCCTATCAAGTAAACAAAGACCTGTTTGATTAATATTCAAATATTTTTCTTCTGCTGCCTGTAATTCCTCTGGGTCTTCATCCTGCAATTATCCTGTCCCCCTCCATGCCTCTACCTCACCTCCGTGAGTACTGTGGAGCTAAACCCACACCACCTGTAAGTCAGCCAGAGTGCACGCACTTCAAGGAGTTCTGTCAAGTCACAATATCAAAGGCTCAATCTACTTCACTTCAAAAGAGTTAATCATGCAAATATGACAAAGCATGTGCATATTTGCCAGGTCAAGACCCTATTTGCCTGTAACAGTTAACATCCAACATAGAACTGAAAGAAAGACAGGGATGGGTGTTTGCACCAGGAACAAATAAGTAAGTCGAATATGATCAAATATAGCTGGAAGGTTAAGAAAACCACTGGGAAGTTCAAAGTGAAAGCCTGGAGTTTGCTGCTAATCCCTCAAATCTCATGCATGTGCCTTGCCCCCTTCTTCAGGAGAACCTCATGCATGAAAGTACACACACCAGAATGCCTGTAGGATACAAGCCTGGGACTCTCAGATGTGCATAGGAGAATTTGATCCCACTCAGTATAAATGGGATTTCATGCCTCCTTTCCCTAGGCTCCTTTTAATGCCCCATTTCTGACCTCAAACTTCTCTTCATATGCTTTATATTTACTGCAAGGATTTCAATGAAACGGAGGCCTCAGAGCGAGCTGACTCAAGCCCTTTGGCCAGGCAACACACACTAGTGAAGAGCACTCTGATTTTGTAGTATTACATGAAATACCTATGGCTACTGTGGCCATAATTTACAGAGCCCAATTCTTAACACTGTCACAAAATGGAGGTACAGCAGCATCCTCCTTTATACAACCACCAGCTTTGGATTCGGGAACCAAAAGCATCTCTTCTCACAGAGAGCACAAACCAAGCTTTCCCTTGAAGACTTCCAGCTCAAGCCATACCAGAGTTAATGTTGCTTGGTGACCTCGTGGGTATGCATTATGGTAGATTTTAATTACATGACCACATGCTGTTCTCCCCACCTGTTTTGCCCAGCAGAAGAGCAAGCGCTCTAATATTTCTTTTTAATCAACAGAAATTCTTAACAGCTCCTGAACCTATTGCTACACCAAGCAGGGATGGGTTTTTGTCCCCTCTCGCATCACAAAGGTTTTAATGTAAAGGAATTTATCTTTGCAACACACCTGTATGGCCAGGAAATAGGCACTCCAACGCACAGATTTTGAGGCCCACAGAAAGAAGGCCAACATATGCAAACAGGTAATGATGAAAACATAGATGAATACACACCCATGTACTTATACTCCCTCATTATATGAGAGGATGACAGCTCTATAGTAAATTCCTCCCAAAATCATGCTGTGCCTGTCAAACACCAGCAGTTATTTGCTCAGCTTTGAAAAAGAACAAACTTGACTAACAAAAGTAACTTGTAAAAAAGAAGCAATTAAACTGGGCACAGATAGAAAGAGAAGGCACTATAGGCTGCATGGATTTTTAATAAGGCTGTGAAGAGAGATGTTAATTGCTAAAACAGTGTGGTAAGGTGTGGCTAGAAGAAATGTATTTCAAATAAACAAAGCCTTTTCTTCTTCTAACAGAAAATGGCAGATCCACAGGCAATAATTAAATACCACCTTTGCAGCAGCACCTCTGATGCAGTACCAAAGATAAAACCAATTTCATTCTTTCAATAGGGCAAGAGCATCCTGACCTTTAAAAGAAAGGCAGCTGAGTTTTCCTTCAATTACCATATATATCTTCAAGGTTAAGCAGTTCTATAACCCATTTGCCCTGTTTTACAAATGGCATTTTTGTAATTAAAAAATCCCTCCAGTTTCTAAGAATTTAGATCTGAAAGTCATCACAGAAGTTAATTTCTTCTTCTGTTAATGCTTCACAAACATTTCCATTAGAAAGGCTATGATACTGATTTTGTATAGTCCCATTAAGGCTGGGGAACAAGGAACTCTGGATTCTTTAGACCCACAGTAAAGGCTACTAACTCTACAGGTCAGATCTGAAATCCCTTTTTGATGTTCATCTGGTTTTGGTCATCAGCCCTTAACATATCTCGATCCAGTGTAGTCTAAATTGCAGCCCAGAGATCACAGCTAGTTTAGAGGATGCTTCTGTCCTGCTCAGCATCTTTCTCCAGGCATGGGATCCCATTCCAGGGGATATAGAGAAGCCATCTGAGCTCAAGCACATCGCTGCCTGCAGTTGCTCACAGCCTAATGCACAGAAAGCCAGTTTCACTGCTGCCACCTAGGGTATGAGAGCATGGAGGGCCGTCACTTCAGCTGGAAGCAGGTGGAAGAACAGCTAGACAAGGAAAATCAATTTAGCTAATATTTCAGGGAGAGCAAGAGGGGAAGGAGAAGGAAGAAAAAGGTAAGACAAAGGGTCTCAAAACACAGATCTGGCTCCTGAGGTAGCCAAAACTGGATTAACATAGCTAGAGCCAAAGAAAATCTTACCATGCCTACTCATCTTCTCTAACCTGACTCTCATCTCAGCACTGTGACACTGCCTCCTTTCTCCTGCCTCTCAGATCCGATCATTTCAACAATGGCAAAAATAAGTTCCCTCTCCCATCCTGCTCGCCTGTTTGGGAAGGCAGAACAGGCACACAGTTGTTGTGTTTTCCTCCTTCAGAGGTCTCATCTCACTCCCTCTTGCTATACAAATTTGATGTGTTTGATCTGCTGTCCACTGTAACCTCATTCTTCCCTGCTGTTTCCCAGTTTCTCCTGCAAACTCTCTGGGGAAGGGTGATGGTTCTTGTTTGTGCTGGTACAACATCCAGCAGAAGAGGGCTCTATGGAGGGCACTGCAGGTGCAGCTCACCTCACCTCACCTGGCACCAGAGGGCTGGCATTTGCCTCCAGGTTAAGAAAGCTGCCCAGATGCAGGAGGTGTATTAGCTCTCCTGACATCTAGACAAAGTCACTACATTTTGGGAAGATGTGACTGAAACTCAACTTACCTGAACACAGGTAGCTAGTGGTACCTTGCGTGGTGGACAGTATCTCACCTCGCCCTGTTCCAGGATGGTACCAATGCCTTTATGTCCTGTGTCACATCTGCCAGCCCTATGCAGACATGGAGGATAACTTAGGGTTTCTCAAATGGTACCCACCATGTACATTAAGCAAATGGATTCCCCCACACTGTAGAAGCTCAGCTATGTTCTTCTCATCAGTACTGCACTGACTGGGATGGGAGTTTAGAAATCTGCAGCAAATACAGCCATCTAATCATAGAGAGCAGATTGTTCTGCCTGAAGATAGGCATCTCACGCCATCTGAGATGCTTTGGGGTAACCAAGGGACTCGTGTGGGGCAGGCAAATATCACACAGGACCTATGGGAGACCCACAACCTTCTGAAGGCGAGGTGGAAAATCCCACTGCACTTCCAATGGTACAGACAGCGTGCAACTCAACTGAACCTTAAACATTTCAGCCTGTTGAGCTGAAGCCCCCTGCCCCAGCTGTCTAAAATGGGGAATGCTTTCCCTTTATGGTCAAAGAAGAGAGGCATTTCCAGAGGGTGAGTCACCTCATTCCCCCTCTCCCCACTGACCATAAAAGCAGGGACAGACTCAGATTAAAATATCCAACTTAGAGAGAGATAAGTTAGGACAGGTGAATCCCTCTATTCCTTCCAGTAATACACACAGAAAAGACTCATTGGAATGAATAGATGCAAAGCATTTGTCCTCCAACCTCCCAGCTCATGGTTTTAAATTACTCTCACACACCAAACTCTATAATATATCAGACCTAGTCAGCCAAAAAAAATGTATCTGATGAGATAAATGTTATTCCTGTCAGACTACACCAGTTTTCTTCTTCATGAAGAATGAAATATCAGGAGGTCCGACCAGAGAAGAAATCAAAAAGGTTTATTTCACTTGAGAAGAGCAACTAAGTGCTGAAAATCCTCCTAGAGAGAGCTGACATGGGAACAGACAATCTCAGCAAGAAGGGGGCCACAGTAGGAAGTCTGTTTCTCCCCTTTTTAGACAAGCTGATTTTATCTACTTTTTCTTCAGTGAAACAAAATGTTAGATGACAATAGCCCAGTTTAACACCTCAGGTTTAGTCAGGTTCTTTCTTGCACAGAACTGCACAGAAATATTACAAATATAAGCAGGCATTGCTGCAGAAAAAAAAAAAAAAAGTGATTCCATATCCCCTTCACTTATCTGCCCATGTCTGGCCCTTCCCCTGTCCTAAAACAAACTTTAATAGGGCTGTGCAACTCAGAGGCTCAAGAAACAGGTGTAAATTAGTACTAAATAAAAAAAACCACAAATACTTATTTTTAGCCAGGACCTTCCTCAGCTGATGTTACAGAATAGCCACATGACAGTGGCACACAGAAGAAAACACTGCAGGAGCAAGAACAAGAAGTCAGGGACAGGGAGAGAGAACAGAACAGACTATTAGGCCACCACTGCTGCTTTTACCATAAAGTTATATAGAGCATAAAGAGTGCAATAAATGTATAAGATCTCCTCACCATGCACCTCTTCACAGCATTGACAGATGTGGTTTTATCTGCAAATCAGACTGTGTAAATATCCACTTATCAGCCATCCTCTATGGAGTGTGAGTTACACTAGGGCTGATGGTCTACCAGGTAACCACGCACTCACATCACTCTGATGCAACAGTTATCCCCAAAACATCTTAAAATAGCAAAAGGGTGCATCCCCTTAAAGTCCCTTTAGAGTCAATGGACAGACAAACATTTCTCATGAGTGGTTCAGCAGACAGCTAAAGCAGATCAAATTAAATGTATCCTAAAAGCACCTTTTTCCATCAACTCTATAATAGACAGTCCCAGGTGAGACAGCTCAAGTGGACGTGCGCGTGCTATAGATGACTTGAAACAGGTGAAATGGATCTCAGGTGCTATTTTTAAACCTTTACTCTGCAGGAGTCATGAAAAAGACAATCCAACTCAGCAAAGTTTTTTATGGACACTTCCTTTTAAAACTGTCTTACTAAGGACTTTAAAAACCATGTCAAGCACAACAGATTAAGGCTAATAGGTCAAGGCAAACCTACTGCGAGGTTAATTCCCCTTACTGCCCCACATGATTCTCTCTCCACTCAAGTAAACTCTATATATTTATTTCCTGTTTATGTATCCAGTCCTAGTGCTGATACATACATAGGAGAAACTAATTTTGTAGTAGGACTTATAAAAAGATTAATTGGTTTCTATTTGTTGACACATAATGCAAAACGCCTTAAAGGCAACAACAAACAGTCACTGTTGCTTTGAGCTCCTGGATTAAAAAGTTTAATTAATATATGTATAATACTCCTATTGCAGAAATGGTACAGACTGTCTTGTCCTACCAAGGACCTTGACCCGAGGAGGCTGTGACAATAAATTATCTGCTACATCAGGACCAAAATAATCAAAGCTGATTAAGAAAGTGATCGCTAACACAGCATTGATTAAAACATTTACCATAAATTGAACGACATCGTCAGGCTTGTGCTTCGCTGATTTGAAGGCAGCCAGTCGGGTAACAACGACAATGTGATACTCCACGTGGCCAGACATCATCTTCCCACGGATCTCCTGGTATTCCGGCACAGACAAATCCAGCCCCGTGTGCGTGTTCTGAATTTGCCTAGGGAAGAAAACACACGCAGGGTTCAGGCACTGGCACACAGACTTTTAATTGACCCTCTCCGAGGATCCAGTTCAAAGCCCAAGAAAGTCACTGCAAAGACTCCCATTTCAACAGGCCACTAGACAGACCCTACCCCAACGCTGTTCCTGCTCTGCAACAACACAAATCTGGACATGTGCTGCTTCCTATAGTCTATCCCAAAGCACCTGCCACTGGCCACTGTGGACAAAAAGCCAGGAACACAGCATTTCTGGGAACAGAAGATGGGGATTCATTCAGAACCAGATTTCACTCACAGGAGTGAAACCGTACGTTTAACAAAATAAACAGTCTGTTTCCGTAGACTGGAAACCAAAACTGACCAGAGATCCTTTCCCCAAGGATTCCTCATGCCAAGCCACGGCACACTCACTGCTGCTGTCGCTGGAACCACTGACTCTGTCCGAATCAGAAAGAAGTTTATCATCCAGAGCATGGAGTACTCTCTGAACACATCCCCAAGTGTGTCCTTCCTGTGTGTGAGCGAATTTTTTTTTAATGAAATCTGAAGGGTCTGTTTGAAATAAACCACTTTTCATGTCTTGTGGAATTTTTGCCTCTTTCTTTAGGAAGCTCAGTTTCATTAACACAGATGCCCTTCACCTAAGGATACACAAGATGTATGAACTTAAAATACACTTTAAAGAGGTTTAAACAATATGGTTTCAAATGAAGTTTCAAAAGTCTCCTCTCATCATGTCAAAACTTGACAGTTCTTTTGAAATTTGAGTTTTCCGAAGACGGCAACTTCTGAATCTCCAATGTAAAACTGAATAAAAAGCTTTTTAAAGAGACTATCTTGAGAGTTCTCAATAAATCAGATGGCAACAAACAAGGACACAGGCTTGATTTTGTACCAAATGCTCTTTGCAAGCCATGTTTAAAACATTATGGCTTTACCAATAGCTCTACTGTCGTTGAGATTTTATACTAGGTACCTAAATGCCATTCTGTTTGCTCTGATTCTGTTCTCATTTTCTGCCAGCCAAGGACTTGACTTTACACTAACAGACAAAATTCTGTACTCAGTTACATGTTGTCGAGCTGCAAACAGAGAATCAATAGCGCTGATGTATAAATACATAGGTGCCTGGCTTTCACACAGCGCTCTGTTGGACCTGTAAGCAAAAGTCACTATCTGGAGACTGACTCAAAGGACACCTGCTAGTAAAACCAGCTGGATCTGGGGTTTTTAGAAATGTTGGAAATGCTCTCCAGATGTGTCGTCGTCACTCAAAAAGTTGTGACAGCAGTTATGACAGCAAAAAGGTCTGTCAGGCAGTAATCTGGAGTGATTTATTTCTGTTAACACAGCCACAGAGCATAACTGACAAATTAACCTGCTTTTCACCTCTGATGTAAATAAAGGGAAAAACACGAGTACACCATCCTCCTGAATGACCTTATTTAGCTTAAAACACCAACCACGCATAGATGTACTCAGATGATACAACAACAAATTCAGTGTAAGAGCTGCTGCATCAGAGTTCTAAAAATGCCATAAAGTTAATAACTACTTTAACACACATTCAGGGTTTTGCTTTTAAAGTTGTTAAAAGCCTCAGCTAAAATGACTGTAATGGAAAGCGATTAGAGGGGAAATAGCTACATTTTTATTTGTTTGCTTCAGACCTCATGATCACTTTCATGATCATCGCTGACATGAAACCTACCACTATTAGCTCTTCCATAGCAACAGGATCGTGTAGTTTTTTAAATATAAAATTGTTCTAAATGAACAGAAATCAGCAGGGAGGCCACACTAGTTCTTGGAATGCCTTAGTTTCCAAATAAGCAGCTCCCGGTGTTTTAATTAATTTGATACTGTTGTTGTTGTTATTCAAGCGGAAGCAGCACCTACAAGTCCCAAGACAGAATATAGTTTCATTGCATTTTTTCCATCAAACACTATTTTTACACTAGCAGCTTTAAAAAAGAAGCAAAAGGAGAAAGCTGTTTGTTTAAATTGGACACAGAGGTTTATTATTGCTTCTACTCCTTATTTAAATCTAGCTTGTCTACCTCTAAGTTACACTTTTGTCTACAATCCTGATGGTTCAGGGGAGGCTTGGGCACATGGTTTAACCCTCCTAATAAGAATTGCTGGACCTGAGTACAACGAGACCACTACAACCAGTAACACTGTGCTTGTATAATCAGATCATGCAGGGTCAGCAGGGGACAGAGGAAGAAGAAATGATATAAAGATCAGCTGAACAGAGTAGTTTCTGCTGTTCGCAGAAGAGCCACAACTTTTCATTCCCATCTTTTGATTTGCATGTAATATAGAGGGGCTGTATTTTAATTAATCTGCTTTCTGTGCTGAAAGGCCAAGATGGGAGAGAAGGGAAAGCAGCCACTACAGGCAAGAATGCAAAGTAAGGGCTGCAAGCACTGTGATGAGAGACACTGTGTTCTGGTGTCTGTGTGGCCAGGAGAGTGGACTCTGCACTTTCTGCCTTGATAAAGCCAGCCCTGCCGGCAGCACCCAGCTCCAGCCACCTCTGCCCAGGCAGGACCGAACCTTGATGACTCAGCTCATCCTCAAAGGAGAACAAACTTGTACAGCTAGTTTATTCACTAATTGAAGGCAAAATATCAGGCATGAATTAGCCAGCAAATGCTTTTATTTCTCTGTATAGTCTAACTACAAGTATAAGGATTATTATTTATTTATATTACCATAGCAACTAGGAATCCCATTACCCAAATTACTATGTATAAAGAGTGAAAAGGTCACAACCATACAGCTATCTTACCTCACAAGCTAGAAAATATATTTACTTGGTAAAGCCTTAATCCCACACATACATATATCTCTCCAATTTTATCACTGAAAACATTGCAGTATCAGTGGGACACTTTGCAAGGTGTAAAGTCTATTGACTGTTAAATAAATCCAGGTGTTCAGATTTCCATTTCCGAGGCTAAACCTAATATCATGTCAGTCCCACAAAACATGTATGTGAGTTAAGTCAGACACATTTGAAGGTTCAAGACTCCTGCTCCAAAGGAAGTCAGGCCCTGAAACAGCCAAATATTTAAGGATTAAAATAATGGCTTTGAAGTTAACGCGATTGAAATAGTTGCTACTTATGTCGTAGGAGGTAGATGTGTGAGGCGAGACCTCGCTGAATCAACATTTATTGTTTCTCATGTCACATCTGATAGGGGGCTGCTTTCATGAGGTCTCAAATATCTCATGGGGGTAAAATAAAAAAAAAGAATTATCTCTATCATTTCTCTATAAAGACTGCCACAAGCGTTTTCCTATTGAGACATTTCTCTTAAGGGTTCATTCGCCACATCTAGAAAAATACAGGTTTTTAAAAATTTAATGCAACTGAAAAAAACACCCCAGCACCCACCCAACTTATTCTGGGAAAACAGAATAAGCTTATTCTGCCCATCGCTGGCCTAACATGAAGCCCAGGCAGGCTGTCTGCAGCCTGGTGGACACAAGGCATGGTGGCGTTTGGGGTCAGCCAAAAGCACTGCCTCAAAGAGGCCAGTGTATCCTTCTGGACGAGTTTTAATTCCTTCTGAGGCACCTCGAAAATACTGACCAGGAAAAGACGTTTGTGGAGAGTGGGAGCACACGCTGTGTGCCCAGCAATGTGGAGGGGAATCGGCCCTAAGTAACCCCAGGAGGAAGGGACCCAACGGGCGGGTGAGTGACAACTGTGATCTCTCCCGGCGGTGAAATGCCACAAAAACTGGTGGAACCTCGGATTATCCGAAGTGTCCTGGGAGCAAACCCACGCAGCCGCAACCCTCCAGCCTCCCCTCCGCCCCGCCATCGCCCTCAGCGTCCCCCACTTCCCCTCAGCGTCCCCTCAGCGCCGCCGCCCCCCGGCCTCCCCTCAGCCCCGCCATCGCCCTCAGCGTCTCCCGCCTCTCGGCGTCCCCTTAACGCCCGCCGCTTCCGCTCAGCGCCCGCCCCGGGCTCCCCGTGAGGCGAAGGGAAGGCCTCGGCGGGCGGCGGCTGCCCTAGCGGCGGCTGGCGAAGTTTGAAGCGGGCGGCGGGGGTCGCTGCTCCTTCCCGGTACCTGGTGGTGACCAGCACGGCGGGCGCCGGGCTGTGCTGCATGGCGGAGGGAAGCGGCATCGCTGCTCCCTGGATCGGCGCCGGCCCGGGCGGAGAGGCCGCGTCCGGCCGTCACGGGGTCCCGCCTCTCTCCCTGCCTTCCCTCGGGCTGGCAGCGGCCGCCCTGCCGGATGTTTGCCGGCGGGCGGCTGCGGTGCAAAACGGTGGCTGGGAAGAACCCGGGTGGGTGTGTGTGTGTGAGGAAAATGTCCGGGCCAGGAAAGAAAAAGAATAACCTTGGCCGTAGTCGGCAGGATTCGAACCTGCGCGGGGAGACCCCAATGGATTTCTAGTCCATCGCCTTAACCACTCGGCCACGACTACACCGACGGGCGGCCTCTTTGGCGCCGAACCTCCACTAATACACCCTCCGCTCTCCTCTTTCTCTCCTTACGGGACCAAAACACCTCCCCGGCGGCATCCCGGTATCCTCCTCCCCGGTGGAAATAGCTCTAAAACAGCCAGCACGGTGCTGCTGCAGAGCAGGAGCTTCACCAAAAGCCAGCCCGGCCCTCGGGCGCCTCCCCCGCCGCGGCCCTTCGCCCTCCGCCG